ATAATATTATTAAAAAATTTACAATTGATGCAAATAAATATAAAAAATAACACTTTATTATTATGTCCAATTGGACATTTGGCTAAAATTATCTGGACATTGTGGACATTGTCCATATGGATTTCCATATGGAGGTCCAAATGTCCAATTGGACAAAATTTCCAACACTGATCCAAATCCCACAATTATATCAATATTTATTACTATTCTACTTTTTATTTCAAATGTTTTAGATTTGAAGTATATTGAGTTTAGATTGTTAATTAATTACATAAAATGTATTCATAAAAACACATTAAAATCATTATTATTATAAATAAAAATAATCAAAAATGTTATATAAATATGTATATATGGCTGATAGTAGTAAATTCAATAATACACTCGCCTGCCAAAAAAGTATCTGGATACTTTTGGCAGACGAGTGAATGACCACACAAAAATCAACGGTTTGATATAGGTTTGACCCATACTGTGATTGGCTTATTGGAGAAAATCTCCAAATTTGCTAATTTTGCATTTTTTAATAGTAAAATTTTTGACCCTAATTTATATAGTTTTCGGGGTCCTGACCAAAATTGATAAGGATTTCTTTTAATGTTAAATTCGTTAAAAGTTTTTTTTTTGTAACTTTATCTATTATCTGTTAATTGGTGGTGGTACATGAATGAACTCGGTGAATGAATTCTGCATTTTTAATATTTTTAATAATAAATTTTGGGGTAAAATCTCATAAAAAATAACCAATTGTCAACCTTTACACAAAAAGTTGTACTTATAAATAAAGTAAAAATTAACATAGTTTAATGTGACGAATAAAAAACTTTTTATGTAGGCTTTACAAATTTGAGTGCTCTCTGACTCATTCACGCACGGATCAGCAATTTAAAAAAAAAAAAATGAAAAAAATAAATTACTTTGGTCTCAATTTTAAGTGTAAATAATGAATAAATTTTTGAATTGAATTTAAAAAAAAAAATTAGCCGATACTTTTTGAAGTTTGAGTCATGAACAATAAAATTTATGAGTTAACTTTTTTAAAACGATATAAAAATCTTTAGTTATACATGCTTTGACACTGTCATAAAGTAGTTACACATGTCGTACGTAAAGGGATGTTACACTTCTGTTTTTAATAGTGACTGCCATAATTAATTTCTACTTTCTACCATCAAAATTGGACAAACAGATAAAAGTTTTTGAATTATCTGCAAATTACATAACTCTCAAATTTAAAAAATCCACGAGCAAATTTTTTTACATGAATTGAAGCTGAATTTAGTTGATTTTTTTAAAATCCAAAAAGTGGATCATATAATATGAGTATAATTATCCGCACTGTATTATTTTCCGGTTACATGTTATAAATTTTAGACTAAAATTTTACTTTATTATTATTTTATTTGAATTATTCGTTTTATTCAAATTATTCGTTTGTTTGTTCGTTTGTTTTATTTGTTTTATTTGTTTTATTCGAATTATTCGTTTTACAAAATATAAAATATTAATTCAACAAATTCTATATTGTGATTGTAAACTTATAAATAAGGCCTTAATTCCTTTAACGAGATATATACTACTACTATGATTACTAGTACTATGGCTTAAAAAATAAAATAAAATGGTCAATTACTTCTGCTACTATTATTTATTATTATTATCACTATATACAAGGACTACAAAGGAAAAATAGATTGATAAAGAAAATTTTTTAATTGGATTGGATTAGCAATGTGAATATATTATTTTATTCAATGGTTTTATTCGAATAACTTTCAATGTAATTCGAGTGCTTGAATTCATAATAATAATAATAATAATAATAATAATAATAAATAAATGAATAATTCGAATAAACCTTATTCAATATATTTTTTGAATAAAATTTTCCCAGACTGAGAATTTCCCCAATATTTTTGATTACACATTTCACATCCTGCTCACGCCTCCCGTAATTAAAACTATCAACACATATCAACATATATTAAACATAGTAATTTTTATTCTAGCATATATTGTAGATATTATTTATAACAAATAATAAGTGCTTTAATAAAAAAAAAAAGGATTTTGATAATAATAAAAAGAATAAAAAGATAATGACCAATATATTTATATTAAGTATAAGAAAACTATGCTTTAGGCAGAAAATTTATTGTTTAAGTATAGTTCGAGTCATCTAAAACCGACCAATTTTGTGCGGTATTTTTGAAGCCTATCACGTGGACACACAGAGCACTTTTGAGATTCAAACTCTTCATAGTTTTATATAATAAATGCCAAAGAATAATTCTATGAAAAGTTTTGGAGTTGAACAATTATAATTAAAAAGTTATGGCAATTTTAATTTGAGTGACTATCTATATGTTTAAATAGTGATTGACCTGAATTTTTCCACGTTACACATTGTAAAATAATTGATGGACGAACCATTAACAAGCTTTCCATTTGTTCATTTCTTCTTATTGAGTATGCCATCACTTACAAAAAGGCAGAAACATTTAAAAAATTTGTCTCTAAGAAAAAAAGACTTTTCGAAAGTTGTTCTTGAATAAAAATGAAAATGAAAATGAAAATGAAAATGAAAATGGTAACGAAGATAATGAATCAAGTAACACCAGTGATAATGAATCAATTAATAAAAATGATAATGAACCAAGTAACGAACCAATTAATGAAAACAATAATGAATCAAATAACGAATCAAATAATGAAAGTAATGATGAATCAAATAGTGATAGTGATAGTGAAGTAAGTTGGGTTACAGATTTAGATTCTAATTGCAGTTATTTTGTGAAAGTCCTTCAAAATGGAATAAATAATTATAAGCCTTCTATACGTCGTTCTCTCTACTTGGGAATGCACTACGAACTAGGCGATTTTATGCTTCACAATATAAAAAAACATCTGAAGATAATGGACAAATGATTTACAAAAAAATGTTCCCGAGACTTTGGATGCAGTTTCTCTTGAAAAAATTAGAAAATTTTCAAATAAATCTTTTAAATATATGGAATGTTATAGACAAGTATTAGATGCAAAACAGGCTGAATATTCCTTAAAAAAATACAAACGTCATCGTATAATATTTTAAATAATTTAGATTAGCATTAAATTTTTTAATAAAGTTATTTTCAGTGTAACATAATTTGGAATTTTGCCGCCGATCGACAAAGTGGCCGGCTTTAGACGACTCAAGCTGTACAAATAAAAACAAAAAAAAAATTTTTGATTTATGGTGTGCATTTAAAAAAAATTAATATATTGTATCGTTATCAAAAAAAAAAATTATGCATGTTAAAAAGGTATGAGGGGTTGTGCATATTATTTTTCATAAAAATATTTAACTTTATCAATTCCAACCACTCTAAATGTCAATTTATTTTGATAATGGCAATAAATGTAACTGTTGGACATTCACAAAGTCAAATATTAATGATGTTTGTCAAATTTGTAATCATTTAGAAAGTATTCACCACGTTCTAGAACTGCAAACATTTAATACTAATGTTAGCCAGTTGAATGCATTTTCACAAATTAAAAATCATATCAATGAATTGCTTAATTATGCTCAACCACATCAATATGGTGAACTTGCAACTGAAACATTAAAACACGATACTTATCAACCTTTTAGTAATAAAAGGAGACATGGATCAAAAACTAGTTTCAATGAGTCTACCAACAACCATAAGAATATTTGTTTCATGATAATTTGTATAAATATATACAGTCTGCCCTTGTTTCAACGAAGTGGCTGGGCATATAAGAAAATTTTATTCAACATTCGTTGAAACAAGGTTAC